GGACCCACACTGGATGGTGTTATGAGCTCATTTTTTGCCCCAAGCGGGATCTATATATATATATATATACACACTGTATATTGCCGTTTTAATAAATGCATTTTTGAGGGGAAAACCTCATGCGGTCCAGTGTCACCCAGACCCTAGCTCCAGCGGCCCCCAAGTAAATTGAGTTTGAGACCCCTGGTTTAGCCCAAATTGAAGTTAATAATGTGGCCTTGCTACGGTAATAGATAATTATGGCCGGCGTCATGCTGACTGTGAACCAAAGACTGACACATTTTTTACACTGACTTTTATTATTGGGTTTGTAGAAAAAAAACTCACACCATGTACTGCGGTGTTCAACAATAAACTGTAAACAGTTAGGTATACTTGAAAATGTATTGTTTATTGTCATCTAAATTGATTTTTGTTCAGAACTCTTGTTTTTTTTTCCAAAATGAGTATTGTATATTTATTTGATCTGTGATAAAAGCAAAACATTGGTGTCAGAATTGAAGTTTTGCTTGAAATACATCTTTTCACAAAATCCTCAATTTCTGGGTTTTTTTTTCTCCACAGACAGGATTTTCCGCTGAACATGCCTTACTAAAGAATGACAAATGGTAACAACTTTTTTTTCACGAAAGAAGAGTTTAATCTTTGTTTAAGTAGTTTCCATGTTTTCATAAACACAGAACTCAGGGGGTTGGCTCCGCTGCAAACGACATTGTCATTTAAGGAGTTAACTAATGAAGTGGGTCCTGACTTTGAAACAAGAGGAAACTGTGGGTTGAGAGCCACTGATCTCGATAACAAGTCTACAGTGTGATCACTGTGACATGATGAGATTTCATATGACTGCAGACAAATATACAAACATGCACCCGTTCTTTGCTCTGCTCTCACGGGACAGGTTCCAAAATATTACTCCTGAACGACCAAACCAGCTGTGTCCAAATGGGCCAATCAGGATTAGTGCTTTGGGTTTGACTTTGTCTTCCGCGATGCTGATGCGTTCAAGTGTACAATGTACAGTTTGTATAACTTGTCAAATGTACAAAACAATACATCTTTTTGGAATCTTTGTACTCTTTCCAATCTTGGCTGCGGTTTGATGATAACATATTTATGTAACTAAACGTTTCATTTGAAAATAAATCATTTCACTCGTTCTTGTTCTTTGTTGATGACTGAATATGTTTTAATAATGATACCTATTTGATCACAGGTATGAGCTCATTCTTTTGAATATGGAATCACTGGGGTACAAAGTATTCGTGTACAAGTAAAACGTAGAATTGGTGAACAGGTAATAATCAATTCGTCATTTGAAGGTTTTAATATTTCTAAGTGATGTAACCTTTTGGAAGGAAGGGTGCAGCAAGAATGGACGCATGTGGTCCGCTGTCGAGACGAACCCGCCCCCAAAGGTAAACCTCACTTTGTGGTGCCATTGACGTCATGTGAAATGGTCGATCGGCTTCAGGGAGTGTTGCGAATATTTTCATTGTAATTCACACTTTTAGATGTGCTTCGTGCGTGTGTGCAAAGGATCAGATGAAGGGGACAGAACCGGAAACCGGGAGCTATTACATGTTCAGATTACTCCAGAGTTACTCTTCAGTTGGCTTTAGGATCTCCGCCCGACTTTTTCCGAAACAACTCGAGCTCTTTGCCGCGGAACCAGCACATAGGTGCCGCTGACGGAACTGTTCGTTGGAAAACAACATTTCTACAAGTTCGTACTTGATCGAAACGTAGCTGCAGCAACTCGATGCGTGTTGGGAACCGGCCCCTGCGCTCTCAGCTCAAGCTAATGGTGATTCCTCAACAACAACAACAATTGAGTTGGTTTTATTTAAAGGCCATTAAGACAGGATTTCCTCGTTGTGTTTAGGATGCAAGAAGACAAACAAGGAACCAGGAAGATAGGAGCTTTTACCGTAAGTGAACTTTGACGCAAAAGCACTTTCTCGATCGCATCGTCAGCTGATGATTGTCGTCGTCATTCTTCAATAACAACACGTCTGTTACACAAGTGTGAATGTTGACCTCAAAGTAGTTTCACCGTGTCGCCAGTCACCGCCATGTTGAAAGTCGAAGCGTTGTTTTATTCCAGAGCTTAGTGTTTGAAGACAGCGCTCAAACTATTTACATGTACTACCTAAAGAACAGTAGTTAGCCATCAAAGTACCAACATAATGACCGACAAACATACTGTAGTGTAGTGGGCCCATATGTTCAGCAAACATGACGGATCCACTGAACAAGCTGCCGTCGAAACAATGTTGCTTCTATGTAATTATGGATCTAAAAAAAACTAAAAAGTAACTTGTAAAATGGAAATGTAATACATTTGCACTTGTAGCAAAAATAACTTGTCGATGTAGACAATATTTTACATAATATTGATATTTTATCAAAAATATTGTATGTATTATATTTAAAACAATTGTTCTAGTTGTACCAAATACAACTTGTAGGTGTGGAAAATAATTGTGTCGCTTTAGCACAACGTGTATTTGTGGGGGAAAAATATTTTGACCTGTAGAAATGACAACTTGTTATCAAAGAAGTTGTTACTATGAGTCACTAGTGCTCTTGGTCTTGCTGTACGGACACGTGATTTTTTTTTTCCCCAAAACACCTCACAAAAACAGATTTGTCCTTTGGCACGTAGTTAATCTGTAGTCTTTAACTTCGAAGTGAGTGCTGGGTGCAATGCAGGGCCATTTCGAGCAGTCAAGTGAGAAGGATATCGGCGGGCTGAAGTCCTACCTTATTGGTTCATTGGTTCATTTGGATGCCCGTCAACGTGAACGCGCACGGAGGAAGATGTCAGAATCAGAATCATCTTTATTGGCCAAGTATGTAGAACACACAAGGAATTTGTCTCCGGTTGTACAGGCTACACTAGTATCATCAATAACAAGCAACTATGATAAACAAGGACATGACAAATAAGTATGGAAAGACATTCCGTAATGTAAGGGTACCATTGTGCGATAGTACCACCCAGTGACAGCTGTGAGACAATGTGCAAAGTATCAAGCAGAGCTAAAGTGATCAGTGGTAGAATACAATACTATAACATTTGTGCAGTTGGTGCAGATAATCATTGCACCATTTTAAAGTGACCATTAGTAGTATTTGTAGAAAGGGTTTCGGTGTGCAATTGTACAGATGTCCTTGATCGCTTTAAAGAGTCTGGTGCTGTGGAATATAGATCAGTGACCATGGTTCAAGTAAGTACAGAGCTGGAGCTATATTGATTATTGCGGTAATGCTGTTCCACAGGGGTGTGTCAGATGAAATACCTCTTTGTTTGGAGCTGCAAAGTAATGTTATGCTCTATTTCCCACATTTGTTCTTTGAAAAATACAATACCTTGTGCGCTGGTCACCTCTATGAGTACTCAGCATTTGGCTAAAGAGCTAGTCAGCATAAATGTAATAGACTGTTGGACCTGTGCACAGGTCTTTCCCCGTCATTGTTGGTACGGCGTACAAAGCACCTCTTGCTCTGTAAATTGCGGCTATAGTACACATAGATTAAAAATGTACAGTACTCAGAATGCTTTATTATTATGGATCAGTTTGTTTTTTGAGACTTAAATGTGTGTGCTTGTCTCCAATGTTGAGTTAAAAAAAATTCTTAGCAATAATTAAAATCTGACATACTGTACTCAAAAAGACAGCGTATCTACAAGAAATTGTTTTACAGTAAGTATGACATTCATGGCATCATCAGCACATTTCTTAACTTAATAATGCTAACAAATCCTTATTAGGGCCTGAACAGCAAGTGCTGCAAGGTCCCTATTGTTTTAGTATAAATTATTAGCATTATTCAGGCCTGAGCAGTGACCACTGTGAGGCCCCTATTGTTTTGTAGAAATTATTATGATTATGATACTATGATGTTGTTCGTCTCTGTGTGATCTGCGATTGGCTGGCAACCGGTTCAAGCACATGTAGCACCCTGAGACATACAAAAAATTCCATTGCAGCCATAGTCTAAAATAAACAGGAAGTGAGCTCTGAATTTTTGAATGTCCAATTTTTGCCCATTTTTGCACAATTACACGGGTCATACTTTTGCACCCTTGTCCTAGAGCGGGGGTCGGCAACCCGCGGCTAAAGAGCCGCATGCGGCTCTTAAGCGCCAGCCTAGTGGCTCCCTGGAGCTTTTTCAAAAACGTTTGAAAATTGAAAAAGATGGGGGAGGGAAATATATTTTTTGTTTGAATATGGTTTCGGTAAGAGGACGAACATGACACGTACATTCTTAACGTTTTCCAATGCTGTAAAAAATGTGTCAAATAAATATTGAATTTCAAAATTTCTGTCAATGAAGATTTGCGTCATAGCCTGCGAGACACGTTTCTATTAGCAGGGAAGGATGCAAGGCTGATGGCTGTTGTAAAAAAAACAAACCTGCATTTAATGTACAATTCGCTGAGGGTACTGGCAAAGAATTGGAATCTGGAGGGCCGAGAGAAGCATTTTTAAACAGTACACGTGAGCTACGATAGTTAACACGCTGCAAAGTGTGACCCATCATACTTCGTTCATCTTAGTGCCGGTTCTGGCTGTTGCTTATTATTGCATGCATGTGTAAGTGTGTGCGTGTGCGGTAATGGGTCGATTGCGGGAGGTTGGTTGATTGAAAAGTATATCTTTGGTCAAAAAAGGTTGTGCACCCCTGCTCTCCAGATGCACTGCACGGAGAAAAAAAACCTTTTAATCATGAAGGCTCATTGTGTATCTGTAGCCAACTTAGTCAGATTGTAGGGTAATATTGCTTCTATTGATACATACATGTATTGCCTTCATAACAAGGCTTATATAAGGCTTTTTTTTTTTTTTTTGCGGCCACAGACATTTTTTTTTTTTTGGACCAATATGGCTCTTTCTTACATTTTGGGCTGCCAACCCCTGTCCTTAGAGGCCAAATGACTTCATATTTTGGCTATATCATCTACGACAACAACGGGGAAAGAAATTCATTTTTGAAGTAATATATGATGGGGGCATCAAAATTTGTGTTTAATATTTCTTTTGCCACAAAGCAGGAAATGCTTAATGCTCTTGCATATATAAATAAACACATCCAGAAGACATCGATTTCATAATATTCTGTTATATTTGTAGCTCCACTTCGTGATGACTAGAAATGTCTGATGATTCACCGTGACAATAAAAGCTGCGGTAACTTCGCACTGATGATCCTCTCTTCTTCGAAATTCACACGTTTGATGCTGAAGACATCTAGAAACTTAATTTTCATGGTAGTGGCACTGCCCCCCCCCCCCCGGCTCAAGGAAATATATGTTTTGTACTTTGATATTTTTTCTCCTAGCAGGTTAAACAGGTACACCTCATATTTGCTCAGAAGAGTACATAGACCTCCATGATGTTAAAACACGAAGTTTGAGAATTTTCACAACACGCCTTTGCCATGGCAATGCCCTCTTTGCCAAGAAAACAAGGCTGATTTCTAGGGAATAAACATGCCTGAAACTCAAGAAACTTTTGCACACAGGCTGAGCAATGAATGAATTTCTGAGACTTGGAACACACATCACGCTTGGCCAAATACTATTTTGTGAGTTCATTCATCCAGCCATCCACGCATTTATCGGAAATGGATGTACAGTACTTGAAACAATAGTAATTAAGCCTATACTACAAAAGTGGTAAAAACACACATTAAGGCAATGATAAAGCTTTTGGCCAATCACAATATACCATCGTAATGAAAAGTACACGTAGGCTCTATTTCATAAGAAAATAATACAATAACAGCTGCATTAAGTCCGACTGAGCATGAGCAGGTCAGCAGCAGTAAGACCCAATACCGCTCAGCAATTGCACTTAAATGGTAGAGGGTGGAGCTACATTCTCAGGTAGATTACATTTCCACTTCTGTCAAAGATCCTGGTTGAAACTTTAGACCTTGAGTCAAAAAAATTATATGAAAACAATAAAAAGCTAAGTCATGGAATTGTTTTTATTTAGAATAATTTTATACAATGAAAACATGAAAAAAAGCATGTGTAAATGTACTTACATCATGAATATGGAACCTTATATCAATGTCCATATTAAGGCCATGGTTTTACGTCCATATGTCAACCTATTTTGGTGGTCACATGGATGTAGAAAAATTATCCTTGACCATCTGACGCGATATGGACATGTAGAGGTCAACTAGAGGCCAGATGTTTAGGGTGTTGGCTTTAAATCTAAAAAGTGAGGTTGAATATCAACACTGCACTTAAATACAAGAAAATAAAAAACTGTATTTACGTCGCGATCTAAATAAATTATATTACATTTAAGTAAAAAAAAAAAAATTTCTGAAGTAATGCTTTGAAAAAGTTAAATAAAAGTACAGTACTTGCTTGTTCAACAAAACTGAACAGTACATAACAAGTGGACTACTGGATTAAAAAAAAAAAAGTACATGTCATGTTTCTGTTCAATTTGTGACCAACAGGTGGCATTGGAGGGCTTCTTCTCCAGCGTCACAACTGTTGGTCATCATGTCATTAGCTCTTTTCTTTTAAAAGGACTGCCAAGCAGACCACTCGGCGTAGGATCGTGTACTACTGTCATGGTTTTTTGTTGTTGTTGTTGTTATTTTATGAAATTGGGGTTTTCCAGGACTTCGTTTTTCCAGTATTCCCTTGTTAGTGTTTTTGTCAATATATTTTGTTCAGAACACTCTGCTTCTCCTGCCTCCCTACTTTTTTGGTCCTCTACCATCACGCACCATCACAAAACATGACAAATCCGCTGGAACATTATACATTATACTGGAACATCAAAACTGTGACTAAATAGAAGAAGATAATAAAACTGTACTAAACGATTTAAATGCATTGCTTATAACTTATACATTGTATAAAGATTTACGTTGAAAAACAGTTTGGAAAGGTTTAATGTGACTCTGTTGTGCTAAAACTTTTAATACTGTACTGAATAAAAATACTGTGCTGGATTAGAAAAAAAGTTTTAGCCACTCAATGTTTATTTAAATGAGCGGTTTTGAGAATCATTTGAAAAGGAAATCTTATCAATATGAAACCATCAATATGGCTGAGAAGTCCTGATCATGTGTTCAAAAACTATCACAGCGACACCCATACACCATGCAAATATATTCCATGGTTGCTGTAAAAAGAATAAGGGGCAATTTGATGGGATGCATTTTGAGTTTTATGGTCTTCATGACATCAAGCAGGAATGGACATTTCTCAGCACTGACCAAACTTGTAAACAAAAATGACCTTGTTATCATTTGACTCTCATGAAGGTGTCATGACGTTGTGGTCTTCTCTTTGCTGACTGCAAAGTCCCCCGATAGCCCGCTGCAGTAAACTGTCTTCTCATTGGTGGAAGGCGGCTGTCCACCAACATGCAGCTGACCTATCAGAAGCTGCTCGCTCAGGCGAGGCGGCGTTTGCGACCCCGACGCCTGGCGGTGGCTCTGCTAACAGCCTACGCCATCAAAAAGCTGTTGCCGTATGTCCGTAGGCGGAACCAGGTGAGACACAGACATGTGTGTGCAGTCACACTCACACACATTAGTTCATTTGCGTATGGTTATTCTCCAGGGCGGGGCTAAACTTCCTGTTGGCACGGTGAATGACTCCACCACTGCAAATGTGGACAAACTGAAGGGGAGCGACAACAGGTGTGCATTTCATGTTACATTTGCCTCATTTTACTGTAAATGCGTTACACTATTATTAAAGGGTGTATATCATGCAAAATCAATTTATTTTTTATTTTTTAGTGATGTTGAAATGCTAATTCCTCACAAAAAAACCCACAGTGTGTCTTCCTCTCCATTCACCCATCTCTAAACATTCCTGCTCATTTCTGCTTTCGAGAACCAGCTCCGCCAAATCCAAGAAAACGATTGGGTCCTCAATCTTCTAAATAGCATATTGAGGAGCCACCCCCAACTAAACACATGGCTACTTTCTAAAGCAGCCAGCGGTACGCCCGACAAGCATACAGTGGGAAGAACAAGTACTGTATTTGATACACTGCTGATTTTTGAAGTTTTCCCACGTACAAGCAGGTGGAGGTCTGTAATTCATATCAAAGGCACTCTTCAACTATGAGGGACAGAATCAAAAACAAAAATCCAGAAAATCACAGTCGATGATTTTGAATTTATTAATTTGCATTTTATTGCATAACACAAGTATTTGATTGCCTATCAACCGGTGAGAATTTAGGCTCCCACAGACCTGTTAGTTCTTTAAGAAGCCCTCCTGTTCTCCATTCATTACCTGTATTAACTTCACCTGTTCAAACCCGTCACCTGCATAAAACACACCTGTGCACACTCTAATCAAACAAACCCCAACCTCTCTACAATGGCCAAGACCAATTTCTAGAGACTATTGTCCAATTTCGATGAGCTTGTGCAAATTGTAGCCTAAGTTTCCTGTTCTTAGCTGAAAGGATTGGCACCCGGCGTGGTCTTCTGCTGCTGTAGCCCATCTGCCTCAAAGTTCAACAAACTGTGCGTTCAGAGATGCTCTTCTGCATACCTTGGTTGTAACGGGTGGTTATTTGAGTCACTGTAGCCTTTCTATCAGCTCGAACCAGTCTGACCATTCTCCTCTGACCTATGGCATCAGCAAGGCATTTACGCCCACAGAACTGCCGCTCACTGGATATTTTTACTTTTTCGGACCATTCTCTGTAAACCCTAGAGATGGTTGTGTGTGAAAATCCCAGTAGATCAGCAGTTTCTGAAATACTCAGACCAGCCCTTCGTGTAGTTGTCCTAATTCTAGTCACATCCAGCTATTGGCACAAAGCCCGGATACACTGGCAAACATTTTTTGTGACAGTGCCAGCATGGATGTCCATGAATGTCTCTTGTGCGCCGACATTACTGTGTGTGTGTGTGTGTGTGTGTGTGTGTGTGTGTGTGTGTGTGTGTGTGTGTGTGTGTGTTTGTATATGTGTGTATTTAAATATATACACACACACACACAGACACACACACACACACACACACACACACACACAGTAATCACTCATTTTTCACAATTAAGTGTTACCGGACTCCCCCGTGAAAAGTAAAAAAACGTCCGTAGAGAATATTGACCTTTTGATACCAGGTATCCTGCATTTCACTGTTAGAAGTTTACTGATCGATGGCTGGCGGGAGCCGCTTCAATGGAATGGAATAAGCTGACGGCCTACAAGAAGGTGTCGGGCGGCTGATCAACACTCAGTCATGTGTTGACCGAACTCAATTTCAAAGCATATGCGGTGTTGGCATTGATTCACAAAACGGAAAAGACAGACGGTAATTGAAGCGACCTGGAAAATTGATTGATCAAGAATTAGGCAGATTGAAGCCACGTAGAGTCACATGCTAAAAGATGTTCAAGGCTGTTAGAAATTGTAGACGGCCTGTTCCCAATACAATTGTTTTCTGGACTTTCTCCTGGATGGGAAAACACGGACACGAGGATCCTGATATCATTCCCCCTACACTACCCGAGCCTGTGACTGATTATAGCCCCGTTCACACGGCAACGTTTGGACCGACGCAGCGCCGAAACAGATCCAGTCGAGCATTCACACGTGCACATTTGCTCCGTCGTAGCTCCACTAAAGAGCTTATACCGGACCAAATTTGATCCACCTCAGGGAGGTGGTTTAAAAATTTGTTCCAGAGCAAATGCTCGTTTGCGACGCTACGCCGAAACAAATGTGCACGTGTGAACGCAGCTGGATTAAATTTGCTCCAGAGCAAATGCTCGCTTGCGCGGGAGTGGCCTCGCTACGCTCGCTACCAGATGCACGGAATCCGAGCCCGGTCGACAGTGACGAGGGGGCCAGCGACACAGACGAAGCCCGGCCGTGCATCCCCGTTCCCGGTAAAAGTGTCGGCAATTTAAGCGGTGAAGACAGCGCTCACGATCAAGAAGAGAATCGAGAAAGCAGTGACGTCAGCCGAGCCCGATTTGCAGGCCCGAGCCCGAAGCAAACCCGACATTTCATATTTTATTTGTGAGTATTTTTGGGAGAAAAAAAACACAAGATTTCTTACGGTGAAAATAATCTACATATTTTTATGAACATGATCAATGCATTTGCACAACGAAATAACGCTGAAATACAGAATAAGAGGCCAGACAAAGAGAAATCTCGATGTGCATTTGCTTGATTACGCAGAGAAATCCTGCGGCTTACTAGGCTTTAAATAGAATAATTCAAGTGAAATAAATAGGTAAAGATATCTGAAATTATTTCTATAGGATTGTTTAAACGGAATTAACATACGTGCGCACTGGTCTGGCCGGCCGCGCTCCTGTTTAGCAGTTAAATAGCAATTAAATTACAGCGCATTCTCTGTTTTATCCAAATTGTTTGTTTTAAAACAAGTATTCCTTAGTTTAGTATCCGCACATTGTTTTAGTATATATTTTTTAAAACATATTGTGGCAGTCATAAGGAGCACACACGATTGACTGTAAACACGTCTTTATTCCACAACTGCCGACAAGTGGATCTATTCTGAACAAGGACAGAATAGTGTCCTCCATAATATTTATTAAAAGAAAAATAAATAAAAGTCCGCGAGAGAGAAGCCCGACCCGAACCCTTTTTACTTTCGCATTCCTGTCGTTTTGGTCCGCAGCAGAAACTGCACGTGTGACCGCAAGTGGAGCTTCTCCGACGCTGCGCCGGAGCTGTCACGCTCAGCGGCTTTGCACGTGTGACCGCTCCACAAAATTTGCTCCGGTATAAAATATATTGCAACAAAATATTTCGGTGCAGCGTCGGACCAAATGCGTGCCGTGTGAACAGGGCTAATGTCTTGCTTGGCCTTGCAGCTGCACGCGCAATGTCAACATCTTTGTTGGATTCCTATTCACTCCACCCCTCCCCGACAGCACAACTGTAGAGACTTGAGCACATCTATTGTGTTCTGTCCGTTTCACATATTGTGACGCTCCCCCCGCCCCCCTGCCCACCCTGTTCATGACATGTTAAGTCTCGAGAATTGTTGTAGTGTCTTTTTAAATGTACTCTACATGTGCTGAGGTTTTTTTCTCTGATTCAAACCATCCTTCCATTTAAGGAGAATGGTTGGAGTATGTTGTTTTTTTTTTCCCTCCTCGTCCCGACTGTTTTCCTGACACACCTAAGATTTCGGGGCGCTGAACAGCGACCCGCCAGGCTTCTCGTTCTGTCTCCCCCATGTTGGTATTTGCCGTTTTGTTTATCTTCCTCTGAATGGGGTGTAACTGGGAAATAAATTCCTTGTGTGGTTCTTGCATACTGGCCAATAAATCTGATGCTGATTCTGATTTCAATCCTTCATTAACCTCATTTTTTTTGTGTGTGTACACGTGTGTGTGTGTGTGTGTGTGTGTGTGTGTGTGTGTGTGTGTGTGTGTGTGTGTGTGTGTGTGTGTGTGTGTAGATCTCCATCAATGAACAGGGAGTTCATTGTGCGACTTGCTCGGCTATTGAAGTTGTTATTTCCACGGTTACTGTGTCCTGAGGTGGCTGTGCTCGTCCTGCATTCGCTCACTCTCATATCCAGAACCTTCTTGTCCATCTATGTCGCCACTCTGGATGGTCAGTGTGTGCTAGCGTAGTTGAGCCATAAACATCCTCTGTGTATAGGAAGCGTAGCTTCATTCAATCCTAACAAGACACTGATGATTTAATTTAGCCCCACCCTTTGCCACTATGTGCAGGCATAATCGTCAAAAGCATCGTGAAGAAGGACCCGCATGCCTTCTTATTGCAGCTCCTCAAGTGGCTCCTTGTAGCTGTTCCTGCAACTTTCATCAACAGCGCCATCAGGTTCCTGGAAGGTCAACTGACCCTTCGCTTCCGGAGTCGGCTGGTCAACCACGCATACCAACTTTACTTTAGCAACCAGGTAGCATCTTGCTGGTCACAAATTACGAAGGGGCAGGACGATGTCACATCATCTGGTCTGTGCTGTGTGTCAAGACGTACTACCGAGTCAGCAACATGGACGCCCGACTGTCGAATCCGGACCAGTCTCTGACGGAAGACATCGTCATGTTCTGCGCCTCGGTGGCCCACCTTTACTCCAACCTGACCAAGCCCATTCTGGACGTGGCCGTCACTGGCTACACACTTCTGCGCACCGCTCACTCCAAAGGTGGGCTGCTGCCATGGGTGTTGTTGTTTTGTGGAAGCAGAAGCAGTGACGGACACTGCGGTTGTCTCTCGTGCAGGAGCCAATACCACCTGGCCCTCAGTTATTGCTGGCCTTGTAGTGGTACTCACAGCCAAAGTGCTGCGCTCGTGTTCACCTCACTTTGGGAAGCTGGTCGCTGAGGAAGCGCGGCGCAAGGGTGACCTGAGGCACATGCACTCACGCATCATTGCCAACTCTGAAGAGATTGCCTTCTATGGAGGACACCAGGTCATAATTGCCCTATTCTAGACAGAACCCTCTTCACGCGTGCCACTCATGTGTGCTGATTTTTGATTTGTAGTTAGAGATGGCCCAGCTGCAGAAGAGCTACAAGGCATTGTCCCATCAGATCCACCACATCCTGGTCAAGCGTCTGTGGTATGTCATGCTGGAACAGTTCCTAATGAAGTACATGTGGAGCGCCTCAGGCCTACTCATGGTCGCCGTACCCATCGTCACTGCCACTGGATACGCCGAACATGGTAAGCACAAGTGTGAACGTACCTTGGCTGTTGGTTAGGCTGCGCCACTTCTAACCCTGTCATGCTATCAGACTCTGATGAGGTGAAGCAAGCAGCCATGGTGATGAAGGAGGAGGAGCTCGTGAGTGAAAGGACGCAAGCTTTCACCACTGCCAGAAACTTGCTTAATGCTGGGGCTGATGCCGTGGAAAGGATTATGAGCTCCTACAAGGAGGTTCTCGACCTTCGGCCTTTCGAGCCACACCAACGACATTTAAAAATGAGCTTGCTAACACCTGGATCTTCGTGTCTAGGTCACAGAGCTGGCTGGCTACACTGCTCGTGTCTCAGAGATGTTGGATGTCTTTGAGGACGTCAAAGAAGGAATCTACCAGCGCTCCTCAGAGAGAGACCAAGCGGGCCACAGAGTCTGTAACCATCTGGAGAAGCGAGGTAGAGATAGCTTTATATAACTAGAGATATAGAAAGGGTTCCGTCAGTCGTCATCTTTACCTGTGGGTAAAAAACAAAAACAAAAAAGGACGTTTCGCTTCTCTCACACAAGCTTCGTCAGCAGTAGACAACTCTGAAGTCTCCGTGAAGACTCCGGGAAATTGCTCTGCGCTAAAAAGCTGAGCGTGGCCTATTTGAGGACTGGGTGGGGATGGTTAGTCACGCCCCTATGGTGAAGAGGCCCATTGATTTCTAAATTCCCTATCGTTGGGTCTTGATTAGGCCTATTGTTTGGGCTAGGGCTGAATAGCTACTTTCAGTTAGCCTGATCAGCATGTCTATGTCCCTTGGTGGTCAACAAGTTATTGTAAATAGGAGACAGGTTAAATCTGATACCTCCTTCACGGTTCAGAGAGGGTGAAAATTTTTTAACAAAAATCGCTTCCTTTACTCCCCTTGGAGATGGTTTGAAATGATGCGCATATGAATTTTGGAGACAATTGGCCACCGTTTTTCGGACACTAGTTGAATAGAATGTGACAAAGCAAGCCAGGAAACTATCAGAATACTTGCCTCCTTCCTTCTGGCTGATTTTGAAGAAAGGAGTCCCTGCCCATGAATAATGGGCATCATTAATATGTCCGGAATATAGTCAGAAAAAACGGATTAAATCAATCCTGTGTTTATCAGGAGGGGGAGTTTTAGTGCTGAAATAATGTTTACATACAGACCTATGACACCGAAGTGCCAAAGTTCAGCCCAATCATCAAGGGTCCCTTGAGGAAACACCCGCATCTGTTGGCCAAGAAAATGACATTGACGTCAAGGCCCTCCTCGGCCCACGTTGTCAAACCAGGATGGAAGAGGTTGTAAGGAACAGTGCTATTGTCACCACACAGGCCTCCAAAAAGTGTAATTGTAAAATGACTACCCAGGGTTGCACCGGGCAAATGTAACAACCCAAGACCTACAAAAAAGTCTCTTGGAGCCATATGCCAAACCTAACAGGAAGTCTGCCGTTTTTAATTTTTTTTACATTTTGGCCCATTTTAAACTCATTAGAGATCACAATTTAAAATAACCCTCGAGATTTTATCCATTTGTCTTTAAACTGTGGGTGTTTCATCCTCAGATGTTAGGTGACCAGGAAAAGCAATGCTTTTTATTTTAACAGCAAATCCGCCCTTTTTAATTCACTTCAGAATTCTGCATCATTTTTTGATTGTCTTTATTTCAAAGAGGTATGTAAAGTAAGATTCAAATTACAATGGAAATAAAAATATATATTTTTTTCCTATCAGTCAATCTAGGAAGAAAATGAAAAGAACAATATATATATAAGTATATATACAAATATAGCAAAGGCAAAGAACACCATCACGTGCTCGAATGGGGGTAGAAAGAAAAATAAATGTATCCTTCCCCTTACATAAGATCCTACATTTCATATTATTGAGTACAGTAATCATTAAAAAAAAAACAACAACAACAACAACAAACTATGATTACTTCATGATACAACATTTTCTAAATAGATAGATAATTATGATGATATATGAATAGTACAATTATACAAATAATTCTAAATAGCTACTGGACATATAACACAGGGGTACCTCGACTTCGAAATCAATTGGTTCTGGAAGAAATTTCTTAACTGGAACATTTGCCAGTAGAAATACATTTTCCATGTGAATGCCCTAATCCAGGGGTCCCCAACCTTTTTTACCCCACGACTCGGTTTATATCAGACAATATTTTCAGGGACCGGCATTTAAGGTGTGGCGAAAATAATACAACAAAATAATATGGTATGAGCTGCATGAAAACTGTGGTGTTTTCGAAATATAATAATAAACACAAGTAGCGTCTAATCTGGCCACAACACTCTGATCGCAATGGTAATGTTTAATGTCTTTAAAATACGATACAACGCAAATTCAAAGTGCATGAAAATGACGACTCACCACAGCACCGCGCTTGATTTTCTGCAACCAGACGGTCCCATCTCGGGGTAATAGAAGACAATGACACCTCAAGTGTGTGGTTTATGTCCAGTCTACTTCGTAATTTTGTTTTAGTCGCCGTTGCTGCAGAAAACCCCCGCCTCACACAGGTAGGATGTCGGAAATAGCAACAGCGCTATTGTGGCCATCTCAGAGTATTCAGCCATAACTTTAATCCAGTTGTCTCGAACGTACTTTTAAGGCCCGCTGTCATTTGCGATCTCCAGCAGTTTTTTTACTCATTTTGTGAGCTCCGGCGTTTTGTTTTTAGCGTAATCGATCACGTGACTGAGAAGCGTGGCTTGACGTGTGTCAAGCGTGACGCAGACGGTTGTAACGGAGAATCCGGTAATTTTTCAAAATAAAACATCTTTCGTATTCCAAAATAAATAAAACGGAATTAAGGCAAGTTCTGTCTGTGCGGCCCGGTACCAAATGCCCTGTGGACCGGTAACGGTCCGCGGACCGGCGGTTAGGGACCCCTGCCCTAATCCATTCCAAGCCCTTGCAAAATTCAGACATAAATGTTTTCTTAAGCACAAAAATGCATCAAAATATGTAACAAATAAATGTTGCAATTAGATTCTTGCACAATAAATGAGAGTTGTGCACAATGTGATAAACAAAGAATAGAGTTGCCTGGCGTTTTGTCACAAACCAATCCAAGGATGTTTGTTTTTGTCTGCTTTCAACAGTCCTTTGAAAATGTTCAAGGCAAACATGAGCAGAGTGAGTGATCGCCCGACTGGTGAACAGTTTTTCTTGGTGATTGACATTTACGTAAAACTATCGGAATGCCTTATGGCTCAAGGGGCGAATGACGAGGACGTTGCATAGACACAGATATATCTAGTCGATTTATCTATCTTCACATAGAGACACATACCGTAGAGGTCCCTTGTAGCCAAAGGGATGCCAGGATGATGCTCGGTAGTAGCCAATGGCAGAGAAGCTTTGAGTATGTTGCGTTCAGGAAACTCGGAGGTGCGAGTAGCAGCCCATACTGTATTTTTACCTTTCACAACTTGAAATTTCTTTCGTAATTAGAGGCAGTATTTTCCTGTTGAGGCAGTTCGTAACTTGAACATTTCGTATCAAGAGCCGTTTGTAAGTAGAGGTACCACTGTATTCTAATTTATAAATATTATTTGACTTGATCAGTATCATTACAGGTGTCTTGTTATAGTGCAACAATAAGACATTGCTTTTGAGACAATATTATATAAAGAGATAGAGATACAGTACAATGTACACATGTCCATGTTACAAAGGTTAATCTAAATTTCTATACTTTGTCAAGATAATGTCTTCATACTTGATTTTAAACTGCCTTATGTAAAGGCTTTTCTGTACACCTACTCATAACTTGTACGTACGTGAATCGTAAAATTTTGTTGTCCCTTAATTCAGGGGTGCCCAACCTTTTTTGACTAAAGATCTACTTTTCAAGGAATCAACCTTCCATGATCGCCTCGTTACCGTACTTAGTAGAGTGCATGGGATGCACTTTTGCAATGTGTTAAGTGCAGGAACATCACTATGGTAGCTCGTGTGTACCGTTTTAAAATGCTCCAGATTCTTTTTTTTTTGCCAGTGAATTGCAGATGTTGAGTGAGAATAACAATAAAGTTTGAGTGAGACTAAAAAAAACAAAAACAGCAACAAAAAAAACATGGCAACAGCTCTGATGGCAAGCTGCAATTGCAGACTGCTGACTGCGAACAACTTCGGGTGATGCAGGTTACGTCCCACCGTAGGTTCAAGATGGCATTTTTATTTTATTTATTTTTTTGTGAAAGTGAAACTGAACAGTATGCTTTGGGTGTCGTGTACACAAACACAGTATTATAATAATAAAACGCACACGAACACACAAACACGAACACACTCTTGTTTTGTTCCCCCTACACTCATTGCGACCGACTTGGGACCAGTGCGTGGAACACCGGTCGACCGCAATAGACTGGTTGGGCACCCTTGGCTTAACGGATAGCTCCCCTTCCTATTAGTAAACAGTGTCTGTATATTTTCTGACAATAAATTATTTCTAGCTTTCTAGATTATTAAGAGTTTTGAATTCAATTATTTATTCATCTTCCGAACTGCTTGATCCTCACTAGGGTCGCGGGGGGTGCTGGAGCCTATCCCAGCTGTCTTCGGGCAGTAGGCAGGGGACACCTTAAATCAGTTGCCAGCCAATCGCAGGGCACACAGAGATGAACAACCATCCACGCTCACATTCACACCTAGGGACAATTTAGAGTGTTCAATCAGCCTGCCATGCATGTTTTTGGAATGTGGGAGGAAACCGGAGTACCCGGAGAAAACCCACGCAGGCCCGGGGAGAACATGCAAACTCCACACAGGGAGGTCGGAGCTGGAATTCAACCCGGTACCTCTGCACTGTGAAGTCGACGTGCTAACCACTGGACTACCGGGCCGCCTGAATTCAATTAAATTGAGGGATTTAATAATTTTAGACTAGGAATAATTTATTTAACTTTTTTTTTTTTTTTAAGTGTCATTTTGTATTGGTCTGATCAATATTAATCAATGACAGTTGTTTATGTCGAGAGCTAGATCTACAATGATCAGTGCGGCAATAATGTCCCAGAGGAGTGTGCAAAATTGCAAAGAGCCACGATAGATTTGAGTCACTTTAGGGAGTCAATGGCGAGAGGGAAGAAGCTGGTTTTTATGTGCATGGTTCGATCGCGCTTACCTGAAGGGAGTAGCTAGAAGAGGTGTTGGGCAGGGTGTGCGCGGTCCAGTAGGATTGTCTGTCCCCTTGTCTTGGTTCTTGGGGCATGCAAGTCCTCAAGAGTGGGTAGGGCAGTACCAATGATTTTTTCCGCAGTCCTAACTGTCTGGTGCAGTCGGATTCTGTCCTTTTTTGTGGCTGCCGCAAATCACACTGTGATGGGAGAACGCAGGACTGATTCAACGACTGTTGTGTAGAACTGTCTCAGCACCTCCTGTGGAGTCCGTGCTTGC